AGGATGTATGCCCCATGTTGATACAGCAATGCACACCTGAGCCTTCCCTCACATTTCAGAAAGCTGAGGTCGCTGCTGGGCAGTAAAATACACCAGGCAGTAAAATACACCGTGCAGGGATGCTTTTCTTCCCCTGTGAAAGAAAGAAGTGGAAGCAGGTCCCTTAAATCTGGTTTGAACTTAAAACAAAACAGGTTTGCTTTTCCTGAGTGGCTTTTTCCTGAGCTGGTGTTAGGATTTTTATGAAGTCCTTGCAGGTGTGACAGGCACGGGGCAGTCACAGGATCCCAGAATGTGAGGGGTTGGAAGGGCCCTGGAGAGCTCCCCCAGTGCAACCCCTGCCAGAGCAGGATCACCAGAGCAGTCACACAGGAACACGGCCAGGGCTTTGGGTGTCTCCACACAAGGAGACTCCACAACCTCTCTGGGCAGCCTGGGCCATGCTCCATAACCCTCACACTCACAAACTTTGGCCTCATCTTCAGCTTGAACCTCCTGTGCTCCAGCTTGGGACCATTGCCCCTTGTCCTGGCATTGGCCATCCCAGAGCAGAGCCTGGCTCCTTCCTCCTGACACTGCCCTTTCCCAATGGATCCCCAGGAATGAGGGCACCCCTCAGTCTCCTCTGCTCCAAGCTCCAGAGCCCCAGCTCCCTCAGCCGCTCCTCAGCAGGAGATGCTCCACTCCCTCCATCACTTTGTGGCCCTGCTGGACTCTTTCAAGCAAAAGTCCCTGCCTGCATCCTCTGCAGCTCTCCTCGCATGGGGTTTTCTCCCTTGTGGTCCTCTTCAAATTCCGGATTGAAGCAAATTTTTCCTTAAGGCCTTTCGAGCAGTGAAACCCTGTGGGCACACAGCAAAGCTCTTCCCAAAAATGCCACTAAATCTTGGAAATGGCTTTTTTGCCACAGCTACATTCGGTGGCCTGGCCAGACCTCAGCAATGTGATATTTCTAGAAAACGGCATCTTTTGATCATCTGTCAAGAAAAACAACGATCTGGAAAGATCCACTGTAGTTGATTTGGTAATTTGAAGCAGGCCTGCGCCTCTCAAGGAGCCAAACAAGCTGCAGATGTCCTGCTTCTCGCTTTATTATCTGGGTGTCGCTAACACCAACAAACTCCCTCGCACAATGCTCCAACAACAACCGGAGCTGAAGGGCCCCTCCGGCCGGGAGCTTTGTCCTCCTCCAAAAGCTGTTTTTATGAACCTCAGCCCTGTCCGTCGCCGTGACCGAGCAGGAGCCCCCAGTTCCAGCCAAAACCCCAGCTGGTTCCCGCTTTTACGCAAAACTCGGTTCCTCAGGGAAGCTGCAGGGCTTTGCTGGGCCCATCCAGAGGCAAACAGCAGCTCTAGGAGTGCCTGAAGCAGCCGAAAACAGCCCCACGCTGCAAAAACAATGCTTTGAAGCTCCATATTGGCACCGAAAAATATTTGGCCTGGTACCGTGAGCAGCGTATGGGGGCCAGGGGCTGCAGCCGGGGTCCCGGCGAGAGGCAGAGCAGCAAAGGCGCCCGCCGCCCTCAGCCTTTTATGTGCAAATCTCGCACTCGCTTATCTCCTTGCAATCCAGGGGCTGTTTATTTAAATTAGAGGTCATTTGAAACGGGTTGAGAGGCTGAAAGCGTGACTCGGAGCATTTTTTGCATTGGATCAGGAAATGGAATAAGATAACCCTCCTGGGATTAAATTTCTAGAGAAATCAAGCGGATCATTGCCATTTCCCTCCCTAGAAAAGCCTTTTCCTTTTCCCAGGGTATTTCGGGTCTTTCTCATGCTTTGAAGGATACGTTTACATTGAAATGGGAGCAGAGCTGGTGTAATTCGAGCAGAAATTACCCCTCCAAAGCCTGGTGGATCCCGTGGGAGGCTCTGCTCGTGGTCAATGGGCTTCAAGCACACAACGGGCACCAGTCATATAGGAAAATATAGAGGATACAAACCCAGATCTACAAGGTCAGTATCCTCAAATAGCTCTCTTACTACAAACCTGTACGAGGGTTTGGGGTTTTGCTTTCTTTGCTGGAGCCCCACACTTGGTAACAGAGCCCTTTCCTCGAGTTCTCAGTGTGAAAGATCCAAAGTGGGAGTCGTGGGATGAAGGAGACAGAGAGGAAAAGGCACGGAAGTGCTATTTTGGGATGTCTGGTGGGGACAAATGCTTTTTCCCAAGGGGTCAAAGTTTTCTGAGGAAGTTTCTGCTTAAAGACAAAGCTATAGAATGTGGAGTTAGAAGACAGAGGCGGCGCTGAGGGACAACTCCCCAGTTTCTGATGGAGGCTTTGAACCAGCGTAACCCGGAGATCTGATAAAGAAAATGAACTTTGTCTCCATGTATTCACATCTTGGAGCATTGTTAAACAGCCCACAGAAAGCCAAGACAAAGAGCAAATAATACCTGCAGTTACCCTTGCCCTGCCAGGACCCGTGTGCTCTCAGCATCCCCTGCACCAGCACCCGGCCAGGACCTGGCTCCAGCCTTGGTTTGGCTGCTGCTGAGCGCTGGGCTTCCCCTCTGGGCAAGAAGAGTTGATTTTAGGGAGCGAAAAAGGGAAAATAAAGAAGGATCATAAGCACAGGCGTCCTGAAAGCTCCTGAATGCAAAGCGGATCCACAGAAGGGCCAGGAAAATGATCCGAGGATGGGAACCATGGCAGGGGTTGGGCTGGGGGAGCTTGGAGCTCCCTTCATCCGAACCCAGCTGTGAGCTTTTCTCATCGCTCCCCCTGGTGGGAAAACGCCTCCAAAACCCTGCCAGCTCCGTGCCTTTCCTCCGCACCAGAAATGGTCAGTGGCTAAAAAATCCTTTGCTTTGTTTGGGGTCTTTTCCCTTTTGAAAAGGAGAAAAAAAAAAAGACAGATTGTTTTTACCTAATAGAGACAAAGTCAGTTTAGATTTCATTTTAAATGCCAACAGAGGCTGCGATGTGAAGCATTGCTCTCTCTTAAACCGACTTTGTGCAGACTTGCAGCCATGGCCTTCAAGTCATTTGGGAAGCGATGCAGGGCAATAAACAGCAACAGAAGTGGCGAGGAACAGCGCGAGTGCCACAGGACAGCAGTAGCTGGGCGAGTTTTGGAAGAAGAGTCGTATTGGAAGTGCTGGGCTGACGCTGAGAAGTAACCACACAGAGTAAATCCTCTCTATTGAACTGAAATGCGGTTACTGAAACTACAGTTTGCAATGGTTGCCATCCAAACAGCAGGGAAGGAAAACATCGTGCTTGTTCTAGGCTCGTGTTTTAACTGCATGGCACAGCAAAACGAGCAGTGTTACCATAGGAAAGCATCTCCACCTGCTTTTCATGGAAAAGAAATCATTTCACAGAAGTAGTTACCATTTAAAGAGGCTTCCCAGACAAAAAAACCCTCAACAAGCAAAACAACAACCGAAGAAACACAAAAACCCAGCAGAAAACCTTGCAAAATGCAATTAAGGTCAGGGTGGGCAATGAGGGCACGGAGGCTTCTGAAATGGGAGTGAAATTTATTTGAAGCTGAGTAACTGGAGTTTAGGAAGTAGCTTTCCACACATGTGCTAGACCTGACAGCTCTGCAGATGTGCAGTAACCTGTGGAAAAGGGGGGCTGTCCTCTCCTGCTTCATTGCTGGTTTTGCTCACTTTGGCACTGAGGGAGGGGATTACAGCTCTTGTGGGCACAGCTGTGACACATCCACACGCTGCTTCACTAAGGGAGACATCTCCCCCCTGGTTTGTAACGCACGGCCTCGCTGGAGCCCGTTCAGTCATCTCATGCCTCTGGGAAAGCTTTGTGTGGCTTAGCACTAAACCGGTTACAAATCCCTGCAATCCCAGCAGATGTCTGCACGGCCCTGCAAGGGTTTCTCCCTGCTTCACCAAACGCAAGCCCACCAGAGTCATCACTGTTTCACAAGGAGCGGCTCCCTCAGTCTCTCACGAGCAGGGGATAAGGGCTATGGGCTGTGCAGATAACACCCCTGGGTACCCCAAGTTCAAGGGGCAGGGGATGGGTGCCGGCAGCCTCTCCTCTGCACACACATGTAATGCTGAGGCCCTCCTGCGGCTGCACAGCAGCTTCTGGACATCACTTCCATGGGCAGGACAGCTGAGAAATATCCACATAATCCTGCAGGGAAAGGTAAATCCATGGGCAAATCCACAGTTGCAACAGAAACCAACCCTAGGGAACCGCTCCAGGGAGAAGCGGGGCAGCAGCAACGCCATGGACAGCGCAGGGAGATCAGCAAGGGAGCCACAGAAGGAAACGGCAGCAGGAGGCAGAGGAACGAGGGGCTGTGGGGTGCTCCCACCTCCCCCATGCAGGTACCTTGTAAGAAGAAGTAGCATCAAACCCATGAGATCTCGTCCACAAGAAAACTTTACCCTTAGGGTAATTATAAAGCAAAGCCTCCAGAGCCAGAAACAGGTACTTAGCAGGGAAAAAAACCCACAAATACTTAGCAGGAATAGTGTCCCAGGAAAAAATCTCCCTTGCTCTAGCCCAGTCCCTTGGTTCCGAAACAATTCATTTCAGCTGTAATGTGTTTACCAACAAGAAGCTGAACGAAATTTTTCCTCCTTTAGCCAAAATCTAAACTCAAGCTGAAAGAAATGAAGGCTCTGAACCCAGCAAGCTCATTTCAGTACAAGAATCTGTTTTATTTTCACAGCGCAGTGATCGAAACAATGTAGAAATTGAACTTGCAAAACTGAATCCGTATCACAACGTCTATCAGAAGGCAATACGTATGTGTTGGTTTCTTTTTGAATCATAAAATATCTCTCTGGACACCAGAAATTACAAACTCTTAACGCTATACACTTCATTTTAGACTAATCCATCATAATTTAAATCTGTCTCATAAACAATTTCTTTTAAAAAACACGTGGAAGATAAAAAGAACTCAAGTATTAAACTCAAGGCCTTGATTATTATTATTTTCCTTTTTTTTTTCTTTTTAAACAAAGGCATTTTAAGAAACGTATCAAAAGGGTAACTCCGTGGGTCCTGTGGCTGCTAGTCCGGCTCTGTAACGCACTGCTCCACAATTTCACGCAGGTTGGGATTCTCCATCGCAGCTGCTACTCTCTCTTTGTCGTTGATTTGCTTGTTGACTGCAAAACAGCACACGAAAAGCCGGGTCAGAAGCGGTCTGGGGGTAGTTTTGCACACAGCAACGTGACAGACGCAAGGTGTTGTCCTGTGGCTTTCCACACCTAGCGAATGGCCAGCCCAGAGACTGAGGAAGGGCACGGTAACGGCACAGGGTGTCGAATTCACGACAAATGAGGAGGCCAAGCTCTCCAGGTGCAATTTCGAGGCACTGAGTCAAAAGAACTGATTTTTGCCATACAAAGGTGTCTAATGCTTAGGAAGTAAAAAGCCTGGGGCATGGCCTGGATGAAGGCTTTCAGAGCGGTGTGAGACAGCGATCGGCTGCAGCTCTGAAAGAACCTCAATGTCCTGTGAGTTTTACTTCACTTTACTGAGTTTTTACTTTAAACATTGACTGGGAAACACAGATTTCTGTTAAGAAAGCGAGACCAACCATTCAGAAACTTCCTCATGTTCATTACTCAGCAGCACAGTAGCCACTTCTTTTGTGACAGACACAGCTCAACCCCTGCAAGAACCGTGGGGTTCATTTATTTGTTTAAAAAACCCCAAAGCAACAAGAAGTGCACGTTCACTGTACCAAAGCAGCTTTTGAAACAGCCTCAACTCCTTGTTTCATTTTAAAGCCTCATCAGTGTATTCCTTCCTGAGGAGGAGAGCAGGCAGGGTAAGACAAGGGCCTCCCAAAGAGCACAAGCACGTGAAGCAGCAGCACTTGCTGTACTTACTGTCCTCTTCGGTGGAATGCGTACCCTCAGAGATGTAGATCTCCAGCTAGAGGAGAGATCATTCACGTTAGATGCAGCTGAATACATTCATTACTGGAATTAAAAATACACACACACACACACACAATGCATGTAATTCACACTATTAGAAATGTTCACTGCTCTTGTGACAAAGCAATTGCAGTAGGGCTACTGGAAATAGTGGAAAACAGGCACTGCTTCCCCAGTGAGCTCTCTGCAGGCCACACTTGAGGAACAACTTGTTTAAAAGCCACCAGAAGTGCAGCGTCCCTTTCCCAAGGTGAACACTTGAAGAGACAACCGTAGGAAGAGAACAGGTACTTTACCTTATGTCTAAAAGGCAAACATCTCTGAAGCTTGATTCTTAAACAAAGGCCTGTTTAAACAAAACAGAGAAGAGATTGAATTGCGCAAGTCAAGGTTTGAGGTGTATTCCAGAGAATCCAAATTTAACCAGTATGATTCTCAACCTTCTCCTTTTGCAGCATAGGCCACAGAGGAGATTAAAGAACTCATGGTTTGACCCTTTGGACGTAGCTTCTCTGTTAATCCCATACCTGCCTTACAATCTTAGGAGGTCCGTGGTCTCTAAACACCTCCTAGAAACACTAAATACAGACAAATGCCTCCATTTCCAGCTTCCTTTGATATTCTTCATAGAGCTTCCTGGCTGTCAGTGTGGCTGCATCTCTACTGAGTACAAGGCTTGCTTTGTTTTCTAACATTTGCTTAAAAATCCAACATAAACTGCTTGAAGAACACGAGCCTGCAATGGCTTGAGGACAATTCAAGCTCCTAACTTCAGTATTTAATGTCTAAGGTACAGATGGAGCAGAGGACCGTTGTGGTTCATCTTTGGGAGCCAGAGCCAAGTTTGGGGACACCCAAAGCCCACTGCTTTGTGATGAGCTGCACAGACAAAGCCACACCACGGCCCCAGGCTGAGCCAGCGGCCACAGCAACAGGAAACACTCGCCAAAGGAACCCCCCAGCTCAGAGCACTCTTTAGATAAGGAAGTTTGCAAACAAACCTGTTTACTGCCCACGCTCTTACCCAACCATTTAAAAGAGTTACCAAAACCAAACCCCTTCCTGTAACAGCGCGAGGAGCTGTGCCCCAGAGGTCACACAGTGACAGCGACTGCGCAGCAGACAGACAGCAAGGACCCGGCCCACGTTTCAGTGCTGAGAACAACTGGAACCAAGTTAACAGCTGGACATGAGCATCATTGATCCCCAGGAACTTCATTAAATTACACTTATTTTCCCTTTAAAATAGGCTGAGAAATCTTAGTATTGATGTATAATGGTAAGAGCTGCTAACCTTGGCACGTTTAAACAAATCATTTCAGAGATCTCAGGTGGGATCTCACCACAAATAATAAGGAAGAAATAAAGCAAGACAAGCCAGTGTAGATTCTCATTCAACTTCATGGCTTCTAACAGGTCAGAACTCTTTTCTGTACTCGTGGATTGCATGTGGGGTTTTTTGTGTAGGTGTGAGAAGAGAGAACAGCCCATAACGTAAGGGAAATCATAATTCTTTAACATTTGTTTTAAATTTAAGAGCTGACAAATCCTCAATTTAACATTACTAGAACAACTTGGAGAATATAAAGCAATGCTGCAGCACTTCCCAGTAGTTTTTTTTGAGAGCTTCTCTTTGAGGATTCCCTGACTTGACCAAACCAGATGGACATGCCCACATTTCCTCTGCTCTGTGTTTGTTTGCATTGCTACCAGGGTTCTCAAGAAGAAATTCCTGGTCCTGCTGGCAAAGCAATGCCGAATTGTAACCAAGACAACGTTATTCAGACAACCCAAAATTAACTTCACGCTCAGCGTTACGGATTTAATGAAACAGAAATCTTACCAATGAGAGTAGCCAGAGAGCAATGAGGTACTGTTGGTGTAAACCTGATGACGACCAGATACTCATCTTCCCCTATCTCCTGCACTTCAACACAGCTTTCCGTCACCACTTCCAGTTCTTCTAAAGTATTGGGTTTCTCCGGGTCCCGGATAGTACGGATTATATCTACAGCAGAAGACAAGCCAGCAACAATAAATCAGCTTTCCTGGATTTAATAAAAGGTACTTTTATTAGAAATCCCCTTCCCAGCACTGTTCATTCCGCTCATCTTCAGAAAAGACAGAGCTGTAAACATCAGTGATCCGTTATCTCACGAGCTGCTTCAGAACCGGGCAAACTGGGGCATTTATTGTTCACTGTGTGCGTATTTTTCTCATTCCAGTTCTAAACTTGCTATTATTTTGATGGTCCAGATATAATAAATAGAAATCAAAACACGCCTGTTAAAGGATGCCTTCAGATCCACAGATCATTGAACATAACCTATCCAAAAGACACACGTACATGCAGTTATTTCAGACAGGTTCACTTGCCTTTCAGGTTTTTCAGAATCTAACTCAATAACAAGCCAAGCCAGATTTCCTTCTCATCGTCTTCTCGCCACTTCCCAGCCTGGGCCTCACAGATAAGACCCTGAAGCCATCTTAAGGAAAGCCAATACAAAAATAATGCACTAATCCATACCTATCCATGTCAGGGGTCACTTCCTTAGCTTGTAAAATGTGGAGATCAACTCGTTTTAATTTACCTGTGCAAAAACTGAGAAGCAGCATTGCCTTTCACAGGAGCAGTGTGTTCTGGGTTATTATTTTCACCTTTTTTCCGTTGTTCTGGCTCTAGTGTCACTTTTTGCTGGAACAACTACAGAAATCTGGCCAAACAAACCAGGTTAAGGAAGACAGAAAGACTGCTTCATATGGTTTAGATCCTGCAACATCGAACCTATCTGACAATGCTTTTGACATTCTCCAAGATCCGCCACGCAGCAGCGTTTCCAGAGGTGAAATGTCTCCATATTTTACAAAACCTCAGTCACTCAGTAACAGAAATCTCCATCTCACTGGACCATCCTGCTGACCCTTCTGGAATCACTTGCCTTTCCAGGTGTGTCCAGCTGTTCTTCTAAGGTGATGAAACGCTACGGTGACTCCCCCCAGCGCAGGGACTGAGCAAGCCCAGCAGCAGCAGCATCACCCACCAGGCAAGCGGTGCATTAGGGCAGCTCTCCAGGGCACTCCTTGCTCAGGATCCTAACGGTGACCATGGCCCACGCCCCCTCCCGAGGTCACAGCACCCACCCCACCTGCAGACACAGCCTGGGGCTGGCAACGTGGTTGTGGAAAGACAACAGGCACCCAAGCCAGGCCTTCACCTTTCCCTTAACACTTCCCAGACTCCCCAGCACCCCACGGGTAACTCCTCCCTGCCCCACACCCCTGACAGTCATTCCCATTTGAAATAAGCCAATAATCCTTCCTTCCTGCCCCACACCAAGAGCCG